CCTGCCTCTCTGGCTGACCAAGAGCCCCCTCCGCCCCCCCCTCCCCCCAACACCCCCTGCCCCCGGCCCCAGGTGAGGGGCAACTGAGCCTACGGGCCCCAGGACCGAGAGCCTCCTCCTGTCTGTTGTGCCCAAGGGGCCGAAGGTGAAGGTCCAGGCCGAGTCAGTGAGTCGGGACACATTATGCCACAGACCTTCTTTCCCCTTCCGCCTCCCCGGTGGGCACGAGGGAGCCAGTGCCTCTTCAGAGAGGGATCAGGGACAGCCTGTGCCAACCCAGAATCAGCCTGTTCCCCGAGGCAGCTCTTAGCCAGGGCAGGGCTGCAGGCGGCCAGGGGCCTGAGCCAGACTGTAAGCTCTCATTACCGCCGCCTCGTCCCTCAGCCAGGCACATTCGCCCCCAGGTGGCTGCGGTCTGTGAGGCCGGTCACTCCTGGCGCCACCACCACACGCAGCGTCCTTAGAGCCGCCTTGAAGGTCATCCGCTGGAGTCCTCTGCGCCGCACTTGGCTCCCTGCCCTCCCTCTGGCATGCGGCCTTTGCTCGAGTGGGGAGCCCCCCTGCGGCCCAGCCCGGCCCATTCCTTCTTGGGCAGCTCTGATTGTTAGAAGATGGGAATCTCCTGGTGACCTCATCAGTCCCACCTGTGGTCACTCAGGCCAATTCCACCCCCTTCCTCCTCAGGCTTGGACGGCCAGCGCGGGTTCCTCCTGCATCTCCTTCCCCACAGGATAACTGCCCTCGTTGGGTCAGGTGGCCCCCGCCATAGAATAGCATTCAGATCATCCTGGGTTTGAATACTGCCAGCCTTCTTCCTGCTTTTGTGACACGGGAGTGGCTCCGTCTTTCTGAGTCTGTTCCTTTTCTCGTTTTCCATGAAGATGAGGTGCCCGTCTCTCGAGGCTGTCGGGAGGGTTGAGCACAGGGCCGGGCTCCGGGAGTACCCAGCCCATGTGATTCCTCTCTGGGCGGGGTCCGGCCAGCGCAGCAGAGGCCAGGCAGCCTTTGAGGGTGGTCACACCCCCACACATTCGCTGTCAGTGACCTTCCTCCAACACCTTTGGGGAGTTTCGTCTATGTCCTTCATGCCCGGGATGTTTGTGGTGTGTGAGGTGAAGGAGAGAGGTGGGAGGCCGGCTGGAGATGGGGGGGCTATGTTTTTTTTGTTTTTTTGTTTTTTTTTCTTGCGTTATGCGGGCCTCTCACTGTCGTGGCCTCTCCCATTTGCGGAGCACAGGCTCCGGACGCGCAGGCCCAGCGGCCATGGCTCACGGGCCCAGCCGCTCCGCGGCATGTGGGATCCTCCCGAAACGGGGCACGAACCCGCGTCTCCTGCATCGGCAGGCGGACTCTCAAGCACTGCGCCACCAGGGAAGCCCCAGGGGGCTATGTTTTAAGTGATGATGGGGCGTAGCAGGCAGGTGATGGCTCCATGGAGGATTAGATGGTCTCCTGTCAAAGGGGGAGGCTCCTGGAATTAGAGCCTCCCAGCTTCTCCCATGCCCCACCCCAGGGTCTGCACGTTGCTACAAAGGAGATCAGGATCCCAGTTTTCCAATGTACTAGGAGGCATAGAATTCTAGAATGCCATGGGTCATCCACTCCTGCCTCCTTTCTTTTGCATATGGGGACACTGAGACCGGAGAGAGGAAGGGACTTCACCGTCACACTGCAGGAGTGGGGCCTGGCAGCGCTGCCCCCGCCATCCCTCCGTGGGCGCCTGTCTCAGGCAGCCTGCTCTTTGACAGGCAAGATAAGTCGGCCCAGGAGCAGCCCACAGAGGGCCTGGCCCATGTGATGGGCTCAGCACAGGGACCAGGGCTCTGCGTGATCAGCCCCACCCCACACTTGGGAGTCTGGAACACAGCTTTCATCACTCACCAGGCCACACTTGCTCTTTGAGAACCTCCTGTGACTTATCACCAAAGGCAGATCTTGCGAGTCTTTCTGTCTCAGGCTCATGAACGCCTTCCCGAGCATAAGACCCCTCTCCTCAGGTCACACCGAACAGACCTCCTCCCACTGGCCAGTGGAGCAGGTGTGCACAGGAAGGTGGTCCCTTCCCTTGTTCTGGGGCCTCCGGGCATCTCGCTCCCCGGGTTTCCAGGAGGACGGGAGCTCGCCCACTGGTCCCATTCCTGGAGGAGGGACCGAGGGACTGGTCGGCCGACCGAAGCCGAGGGGGAGCTTGCCCGGGGCTCAGGAGCTGGGCTGCTTTCCCCTCCCCTCTTCGGCTACTTGGCCTGGCTTTTTCAGCCTGATTGGCCCAGGGCCTGCACTGCCTAATGTAGCCATCAGAGACACTCCTTCACAGAGAAGGCGGAGGCGAGCGGGTCGGCAGGGGGGCTTTTTCACCTGTGCCCCCCACGCCCAAAGACCCAGGAGGGATTGCAGAGGGGGCGCCTCCGCTTGTGAGTGAGAGGTTGCGTGGAGACCCTGGTCAGTCGGGGCATGATTTCCAGAGCAGGGAGGGGGAAGGTGGGGCCGTGCTGAACTGCTGTGCCGGAAAGGCGGGGCCTGTTGATCCGAAGCTTCGCCTTTAAAGTCAGCCGTCCTCCAGGGGTTAGGAAGTCAGAAAGCTGCAGACTCACGCCCAGGGGACCTGGGCCCCACTCTGGGAATAGTGTCGGTCCACTCCAGCGGGCCACGGACGTGGACACCCAGGGCCTCTAGGGACTTGGATTGGCCCCAGGGCTGCTCACTGCATCCTGTCTGCAGGAGTGGGGCTGCTGGACACGGCTGTTCTGCCCCAAAGGCTGAAGCCCCCTTTGCTTTTCAGTTGCTGTTTTATCATTTCCAGCTTGGCCTTGAGCAGAGGAGCCTTAGTGGGGACTGTGGGGGGCTGGGACGGGCCTGTTCTCCTAAGAGGGCGGAGGCACATTCCAGCAGGTCCCAGGCGGGCTTTCCAGCACGCTATTTAAAGCGAGGCCAAGGGGTGCCTGACGCCTGGTGCCCGATATAACCAGCCGTCGTCAGGTGACCGTGAGGCCTGTGCCCCAGCTGTTGCGTTGTAGGGAGCCCTGAGTGTTCCCAGCTGTGGCCCAGGGAGGGTGGGCATCCTAGGGCTGGCTGCCTCTTGTTTTCTTAACCTTCCCAGGTTTGGAGAGTGGAGGGCAGGGAAGCCCAGTGGGGCTACTGGTGATTCTCTATATTTTTCCAGTCTTTCTATCTCAGCTCCACCACACTCCTTCCCAAACTGTACTTTCTGCCTGTGAATGAGGATCTCCCCCAACCCCATGCTCGGTAGCGCCTCGGTTAGAAGCAGCCAGAGCGGGCTTCCCTGGTGGCGCAGTGCTTGAGAGTCCGCCTGCTGATGCAGGAGACGCGGGTTCGTGCCCCGTTTCGGGAGGATCCCACATACCGCGGAGCGGCTGGGCCCGTGAGCCATGGCCGCTGAGCCTGCGCGTCCGGAGCCTGTGCTCCGCAAATGGGAGAGGCCACGACAGTGAGAGGCCCGCATAACGCAAGGAAAAAAAAAAAAAAAAAAAAAAAAAAAAAAAAAAAGAAGCAGCCAGAGCAAGTGGTGGCTTCCCCTGGCCTGGCTGCCTTCATGGCCCTTCTCGGCACCTTCAGAGGGTGCTCCCCGGCTGGAGTGGCAGCCAGTGGAGGGGGAAGGTGAGCCGGGCTGAAGGGAAGGCTCGCAGAGCTGGAGGGACTAGAAAACATGCCTTTGTGTGGCATCTCCTGGCACAGAGAACCTTGCAACAGAGGAGGCAGGCCGCTTGCAGGCTGGGCAACTGCCACTTGGTACTGAAGCGTCCCTGTTTCCTCTTTGCAGAACTGACACTCCAACTCCAGATGCAGCTGCGTGGGGAGAGTCCAGGCAGCGGATGTGTGCTGTCTGATAAGGGTGTGTTGATGGCTCAGGGCCCAAGGGCTTCTTGCCTTGCCCTGTTATTTTGTCAAGGTGGGTTTCAGCCACCCCTGCCCCCTGGGCAACGTCTTGTTTGAGAAAGAACTAGAATGAGGCATAACTGAAGGTTGGGGGAGTCTTGCGGAGTCCGGTGGCCTAACCAG